GGCGCTGCCTGCGCAGCTGGTCACGTACCTAAGGATGAGGGTAGCAGTAGCTGGGCGCTGTCTGCGCAGCTGGTCACGTACCTAAGGATGAGGGTGGGAGCTGCTGGGCGCTGTCTGCACAGCTGGTCACGTACCTAAGGATGAGGGTAGCAGTAGCTGGGCGCTGTCTGCGCAGCTGGTCACATACCTAAGGATGAGGGTAGGAGTAGCTGGGTGCTGTCTGTGCAGCTGGTCACGTACCTAAGGATGAGGGTAGCAGTAGCTGGGCGCTGCCTGAACAGCTGGGTGAAGGCTGTGAGATTCACAGGCTGTAAAATGCAGGCGTTGGGCTGGTGTGATCTCTAAGACAGTGTGTGGTGTTCCTGATTTGTTCATTTAATGTTCACCGTCTGCTGTAAAGCGAGTGCTCCCTGTAATGGGGAAGGAGTTTATTGGAAGGTTGAAGGAATGTGTTGGGGGGAGTGGATATTGGTTTATAAATCTTTGTTGAATTCACCATTAACTAATGCTTTTGTAAATGTCTGCCTTATATGCTGTTTCTCCCTTTTTCAAGAATTAAGGGTGACTTACAAACACCTGAAGCTCTGAGCAGACATGTGCATCACTCGTCCCGAGAGCTCTGAGGGCCTCGGTCAGACTGCCTCCCTGTGGGTAACGGGGTCTGATTGGAGGAAGCAGTGAGCGCCGACTCCCACGGTCCCCACGTGGCAGCACATCTCTGTGAGGGTGAGGGAACTGTGGCCTGACAAGTACAGAAAATTTGAGTAAATAAGTGGTTGATTACAGTCAAAGGACTGGTGTCTGTTGTTAGTGTCTCCAGACGGGACTTACTGGATGTCATTTATAATTTAGAAGTGCACACACTTTGATTTTTTCTAATGCTTACTACCACATACTAGAAAATGGCAGATCTGCTTGAGGCCACTGAAGAAGTGACTTTGAATGGGTCTGTATTTTTCAAGTTTCCTAACTGTTTTTAAAAACTTGGCAAATTGATTACAAGGAGTGTTCAGTCTGGTTATATTTGTGTTACAATGTTTTAGATTTTTTGGTTTATTCATAGCAAACCTTTTCAAAGGTCGTCCAGGTCGGGCTCTCTTGGGGTGTCACCTGCAAGCAGCCCCCAGAACCCAACTGTACCATGACTGGGCGGGCACAGGGAGAGGAAACCCAGCGGCAGCAGAGCCGGTGGGAAGAGAAGGCGTCCGGCAGCTGTGGCGGTTTAACAGAAAGGTCTGATTTTTAGGCGGGTAGAACCACGGAAGTGTGTAAG